TTCCCTTGTACTTGTGTGCTTGCGCCCCTTGGAGGCATCTTGTTCGTGTCCAAACTGTAATCTTCATATTCAATAAACACCCCTTTTTGGGACTTTGTTCCAAGAGGTTTGTCCCTTACACAATCGTCTGATTCCCTTTTTTAATTGTTAGCGAGCGAAAACGCGCGAAACACAACCATACAAAAACATAAAAAAACTTGGTGATTGAAATTGGCAATCTAACGGTCTTACGTCAAGATTCAAGCATTACATACCATGTTCACAGGTTCGAGGAAAAAAAACACCGAAGCCAACGTTTGCATAAGTGTGAACAAATTAACAAATCTCAAAAGCTAATTAGACTAAAAATTTGTCAGCACAGATAAAACAATTTGACGTGAGACATTTATTACATTGCAGGGAAGGATGGATTCATTAAACTGGAACCTATGAATCCATTGCAGAGGCTAGCCCCATCGAGTATCTTGCTACTCCCTGCCCGTGGGCTACTCCCTGCACTGCTGTTAGATAGGGAACCATATGCACCCGTCTGCAAAACCCCAGTGGGAGATGATGCCAAGCAGGGGCTACTATCCCAGCCCTCCTTCATCAGGCTCAGTGCTGTGGTGTTCTTACCATCAGTGATGCTGTTATTGGTGCTGTGTAAAACCTCACCAAGAGGTCCACCCTCAGAATGTTCCCAGGAAATGGGAATCCAATTGGTTTGTCTTTGGCTCTGTTCGCTTAAGATGGTGCCTACTCCCAATCCCATTTGGGTTGCCTCAAGTTCTCGGGATAATCTCAGTGGAGAGGTCGTAAGCTTTTCATTTGTAGGAGATGAGGTAGAAGACATAAAGTCTGATGTGACCACAGGGGTGGAAATTGAAAGCTGAGTCCTGTCTGACTGCATATCAACATCAGGCCATGAAATGGTCGAGCATTCTGATGGGTTTTTGGGCCATTCGTCCATGAACTGGCGAAGTGGATGCTGTGATTTGCTCTCATGATCATTGAGATTGCTGTTCACAAACGAAGAACTTCTATTTAAAGGATTGAGCAAAGAATCAGAGCATACTAATCCAAACTCAGAGCAAGAAGATTCTGCATATGTATTCTGTTGTTTGGGAATGGAATATTGGCTATCTTTCAGACTTGTGTTTGACGATAACATGGAGACCCCTGTTGTGCCTGGATATCCCTCGTTCACATTTTCCTTCCTGAAAAAACTCCTGTTAATAGTTAACAATTCAATGTTTATTAGGGCAAAGGAAACAGAAAGGGTCTGCAATAACATTTGTATAACATTGAAAAGGGAAAAACTATATGGACCACTAGTTCCCTAAGAATTCGCAATTTCTCCTTATTCTATTGTACCTTTCCCCACTGATATAAACCTGTTTGTTCAAACAGAACAATAACCTTTAAAAAGACTTGAATTAAGAACACCAATCAATAATTTGACATCAAAGCCTAAACCTTTTGGTTTAAGGTTTGGAATGTTTAGAACATAGTCTGTATGGTGTTCATTAATCTACCTGTTAATATTTTGGGCCACGGACAAAGGATTTTTAGAACCAGACTGCAAGTTGTTGAGTTGATGATGATGTGAAAGTGCAAGATTGTTAGATGCACAAGCTCCGGGCACCACAGATTCAGAGGTGGAGGAAGCTATTGGCATTGACCTGGTGGTAGTAGTGTTGGTTCCGGTATCGGAATGGCCAGATTGGCCTTCCACAGGCTTTCTTGAACGGTGACGGCCTCTGTTCATATGCCGCTCACAATATTTCTGGTCGGCAACTGCATCTCTTGAGCACCGCCATTTCTTCCCATCAGTCCTTCGACACCTTCCTGGTTCAGGATCTGTTTTGGAAAATCCCAGATGGAAAGTGCCCCATCCCACTGCACAACATGCATCCAAAGAATTGAAACTGAGTCATGAATTTCTTGTGCATAATAGATACTTGAGCTTCATAAGCGAAAAATCAATACTAAAAACAAGATCCAGTTTTGCAAACATGAGGGCAATCTCTACTAGAAAGAAAATATAACATGTTGAAGAAGAAAAGAAACTCACAAGCATTGGGTCTTAGGCCAGAAAAGCTAGAGAAACCTGCAGACTCGAGGGCTTTTCTGATGGGATTGAGAAGATAAGAAGGAATGGACACATTTGCAATGATATACTTGTAGATCAAAGCCTGGTGTTCTAGCTCCATCCACTGTGATGGAGTAAAAGGCCCTCTAACCCCTGATAGCACCCCTTGCATGTTAGCAGCATTTATACCTCCAGACCCATATCCTGAAACAGAAAGATGAAAACATTCAGGTAAAAACACAGCCAAAATACATCATCTCAACGTTTAGTGACCAGTGAAGAAATCTAATCTCTTTTGCTCTCCTATCCACCAAAAAATTAAAGCTTTTTATCTTTTTTTTTAACTGCCTCCCAATTGTACACCATTTAAATTCAATATTATCATAACTGATTTACACAAAGAACAAATCTTAGGTTACACAGAGGTAAAAACGGAGTCTTTTTTTCTCTTTTATTTAGGGTGAGGCTTAAAAAAGGACCAACACACGTTCACATGAGAAGACTATCCAAACAGTAGAGTAAATCAAAACCCACTTCAAAATTCTATTACTAGTTACTTGACAGAAACCCCATCTCCATAAAAGTGCTCAGACACCCTATACTCCCCCCAAATTCAGAAAGCTATATGTATGAACATCAGTTTCTCATACCATACAAGAAGAAACTATGTCGCAACTGTTAAAAATAGTCAGAACACTTGTACTAACCTGTGTTTCTAGTAAAGGAACTTGACGTTTGTAGATAGTAAGGCAATGTCACACTTTGAGAGTTGGGAGAAGAGAAACTGAGCATTTGTTGGCCTTCAGAGAGATTACTGATATTAGATCTCAGCAAAGGGATTCTCTCCTGAAGCAGCATTGCCTCACTAGAAGCTGTCTTGACCAGTTTAAACTCCCTACATTCATCTTCATTTATGGTGCCTGCAGGCCTTCCTTGCCTGAGAAATCCAGATCCATACCATTTGTTCTTAGCCTCAGCAGCATTTTCTGAGGCAAATATATTATTAGTTGCAGCTGCAGGGATTGAGCCAACCAAACCATCCAAGCCAACAACCCCAAAATCCATAAAGTAGGAAAGAGAAGGCACCAAGCCTACAAATTTTCATTACACAATGATCCAGAGGCTTTGTCTGCTGGAAGGAGGATCATTTTAAGACTATTATTAGATGCTTTGTTTGGTTAAGCACGGTTGAAGAGAGGATGCTGCACTAGTTTTTGTTCAGTCAATGTTGATGTTTGTCAAGGGAAAGTATTTCTGTAGAGATGAGAGAGAAGGTGGGTTGGGACTTGGGCATATACTGTCTGCGAGATTTGTGACAAAGTACTAGTATGTATACTTCTATATATTATGGCCAAAACTTTGAAGAAAATAGTCTACTAGGGTTACAATGATATTTTCCTGTTTGATGAATTTTTTTTTTTTTTTTTTTGATATTTTTAATCAAATTCACAATAAAATATTATACACATAAATTTAATTTTTTTATTTTTTAACCATACATTATTCAAAATTTCATTATTCAAAGTCACCAAAAAGGGTTTAGCCCTCGTTTGAAACTATATATATATTTTTTTTCAGCGAATTGCTATTTACATCTAGCATATATCACTCTAAATTCATCTACAAATATTTATTTTCATTAAATTGTTTTGACCTTGTTTATAAATCATAATATTCATAAAATATATTCTTCAACTAAAGTCAAAACAACAATGGAATGGCACCATTAAAATAAAAATACGTATAGACATAACAATATATGAAGAAGAATTTAAGAAGGTAAAGATTATCTTTTATTATGAGTTTGATGAATTTAGTATTTAAAGAATTGTTGATTTGTGTTTGGGTTATTTGATAATGTGCATTTTGAATTCAAGTAGTATTAACAAGAAATTTCATTTTGAATTATTTTAATTTTCTGTTGGGATTTTTTTTTTCTTGAATTGAAAACATTGATGAGTATATTTTCTGTTGAAATTATCAAAACAAGAATTTGAGTTTTATTTTGGGATTATCCTTTTTTTTCTTTCTTTCTTGATTTTTTTAAATTCAAAACATTAGTAGCTAATCTGTTAAAAATTATCAAAACTGGTAAAGAAATTGACAGTGCATATTGATGGTAATGATTGAAAAAATAAAAGAATTATTATGGAAAAGATATACAAAATGGTGTGATATTTATATAAAAATTGTTTGAATGTATAGATATATAAAAATGGTGTGGATAAATATATTAAAAAATTGAAGGAATTATGATGGGATGGATATATAAAAAGGTGTGAATGTATAGTGTTTAAATGAATAAATAAGGGCAATATTGAAATGTGATGTAGATAAAAAATAGTGTATTTTTTTAAAATTTTAATAGAGAGATAAAAAGTGTGATATATATATAACAATGGTAGAAACAAAGCCTGAACTCGACAAGATGGCGCGATCTCCCATGTTGGCTCTGTCGAAATTTATATGCGCGGCACTGCTACACCTTAGTTACAGACAAAGAAGTTACAGGGAAGAAGCAAACAGGGAAAATGAGTTTAGTTTTTGTTTGAGCCTCAATTTTTTCAAAACTTATTTTCAATCACACTTTCTCCAATAGAATAATTTTATGTGTAAATCGAAAATATTTCCTATTTTCTAACCACGCATTCTTCAAATATATTATTCTAAAACACATTCTTTTCCCGAAATGAGGGTCAAACAAGAGCTTAATTGGGCTTTTTTGTAGAATTTGGGCCTTTAAAAAAAAACAGTTGACCCATTATTAATTGCAATGGAAGCAAAATTGAATTGCGACCTGTCATACGACATTTCATTTCACATTTTCAAAAACAGATAAAACCAAACCCTATTTTCTAATTTCTACCTCTCGACTCCCATTGTCCTTAAGGCGATAGCTGCCCTAATTGACGCGACACGTGCAACACTGCCCAGCTTGACGCTTACTCTTCAGTAGGCGATAGGTATACCTTTCCTTCAATTGTTCAATTACTTTGTTAGTTCTATTGATGTCCTCTTGGTGGTTTATGCTTACTATATAAATGTTGTGATTTATTGAAATTTGCAATTCACAAATATTGATCAGGAAGCTGCCTTTCTAGAATCCAAAGGTTTGTTCAAAAAATTGCCGAGGACTTTAACTTCAAGGTACATTGATAATAACTCTGCTTTTTATTATTATTATTATTATTATTATTGGTTTTAAATAGTATGATCTTAATTTTAAAATTAAAGTTGACGTGATATAAACATGTATTGGTCATTTGATTGGAGATTTATTATGTGAATTATGATGATTTATAATTTATGAAAATTTGTGAATTTATAAATATGTGATAAATGATAAATTGGTGTTGAAAATTGAAATTGAAAAAGTTGAAAACGAGACAATCTTGCAGCGCTTTCAAAACATAAGATCCCGGAGAATGCTGCTGTCTGAGCTTATAGTTATGAAGTGAGGTTGTATTATGTAATTTTTCTTATTATTTTGGGTTGTATTAAATTATATTTTCATATGTATATGATTTTTATGTTTTAGTACATTTACATATAAATAAATAAAAAATTATATTATTTAATTAAATATCAATAATCGACCTCGTTATTACAGTTGTTGATTGTCGAATGTCAATGATTAACAGAAAGGAAAAGTTAAATAGCGACTCCCTTTTTTGAAAGCTAATATTTTATTTATTTATTTGGAATGTATAATTATATAGTAAGGAAAAATTTAAAGTATACATCAAAAATATTTTTTAAAAATATATGATTAATATTGATTGTGTAAAAAATTATATTCAAAAAATAACTTTCAAATAAGGACTTTAAGTGTTTTCTTCATACAAACAATTTTTAGATATTTAATTATGTGGAGCTATAAGACGTTTTTTTTTTCTAGTTTATGTCTTAAAGCTTCTTCAATGCACATTGTAAATATTTTACTTACGGCAGGAAAAATGGAATTGAGAGAATAACATCTTCAAGTAAAATGTGGGTTGCACTAATTGTATGTCACGTACTTAAAAAAAAAAAAAGAAAGGTTAATCATAATATTGGTGTGCTAGACATGCTTCACCTTTTTGTACCATGTAAGAATTTGTAGTAGAATTAGTCTATGTGTACACCTTGTGGTGTACACGATGTTTCACACCTCCCTCATACGGAGGGGGCTCACAAATATTTTATTATGTGTGGGCTCCCCTCCATATGAGATATTGTGTACACATAACATTTTCCTTTGTAGTAATGTGACACGCATTTGGTACAATCAACTTATGTGGTTTATACATTAAAATCAAAATCAGAAAAACCAATCAAATGGCCTTTTATTTTGAAAGGCCATTTTTTCAATATTGAAATAAGGGCTTTGAAATACGCATTAACTATTTTATTTGATATTTCTTGAGTTGCAAAAGATCAATTATATATAAAATATAAATCCCCTACACAATTTCCCTCTACTAGATTGGATTGATTTATTGGAACCCATTATACACACAATTCTTTTACTTTTTATATTTCTTGTCATTCCTCTCTATCACTGTACATACAAAATGAAATTAACAAATCATGCTTCAAAAATTTATCTCGATGCCATCTGAAATTGTTCAGTCATCACATGATTTGAATAAAAAGCTAAAAAAAAATGGAATAAACGCAATATTGGGGCCTTGGCCGACCATGCTATGTGTACGCAATGGTGTACACATAGCCTTACACCTCCCTCACATGGAGGGGGGCCCACGCACAATAAAATATTTGTGGGCACCTCTCCATATGAGAGGAGTGTAAGGCCGTGTGTAGACCACGAAATTTACACGTAGCATTATTCTTGACGGAATTTCCTTGTTTTCGCTTTTACTACTAGTTCTCAAGATTAGTGACATTGTAAATCATAATTTTAAATCTTATGAGAGATGAACAAAGTGTTAAAAGTCTCTTTTTGATTTAGATTAAAATTAATTTTGATAAAAATTATTGAAATGTGTGGTTGAAAGTTGTGGACCTAATATAATGTATTATTAAAATTAATTTTTGATAACTTGTAACTTATATTTAAATTCACACCAAACAGAAGGTAAATATTAAAGAAAGAAAGAAAGGAGTTTGGGGCATGAAGTAAAAACAATATATAACAGAAAGAAGGGTGTTTGGGCCATTTAATACATTATTATTATGCATCCAGCTGTTTTGATGGGGTGCGTGGGGGTAGGGGTGGGTTTCTTGAAAGGAAAATTCTGCCATCGGTTTGAGCATTTCATCTCTCATCTTTAAAGCCAAGAGGCCAAACGAATGGTGGGTACGGTTGACACTGATATATTTGGGTAATGCTACATGTACACACACACTTTTACACAATCTTTTACACCTCTCTCACATGGAGGGGGGTTCACGATTATTTTATTATGTGTGGGCCCCCTTCCATGTGAGAGAGGTGTAAAAGATTGTGTAAAAAATTGTGTACACCTAGCATTATTCNTCTCCTAGACAAAAAGGCACAGCCCCTGTTTGACCCATTTTATATTTTTCATTCTCATTCTTCTACTTATTTTCTAACACACATTTTTCAATAGAATAATATTTTCCATCACATCAATAACTTTTCCTTCATTTTTAACCACACATTCTCCATCAATCTACTATTCAATAATACATTCTTTCAAAAGAATGTGTCCCAAACACACTCTTATTGTTTTTATGAATAGAGAATTTTTTGTATGATTGCACTTTGCAGGAAATATTTTGTTATTTAATGTATGTAGATATAAGTGCTATCTTAATTATGCTAGGGTGGTCCATCTGTTATACGCTAAAAGATTTTTTATTTTTTATTTTTGGTATTTTAGGTCATGTATTAATTGTCTTTTGAAATTTATTCATCCATTTATAGTCAAAGAATAAACTGGAAGGTGATAATTAATGCTTTTAAAATTGATTTTCTCAAAAAAAATTCTCACTCTCATTTTCAAACGCATTCTCCAGGGAGAAAAATATTTTGTAAAAAAAATTAAATCTCGAAAAATCACTATCACACAAACACTTATTAATGGAAAAATTCAAATTTA